AAGAAGTGAAAGACATGGTTTACACACACGCGTCACTGAGCGAGACCATGAGACTCTACCCACCCATCCCCATTGACGGAAAGCAAGCTTTAAAGAACAACGTGTTGCCAGATGAGACAGTAGTGAAGAAGGGTTTGAGAGTGAATTACCATCCTTACGCAATGGGGAGGTCGGAGGAACTGTACTGGACCAAAGCTCTAAACTCTGAAGATTGAGTGAGTCAGGGAAGGAGAGGGATGAAAAATTAGGTGGGTATGCATTTCATTGTGAAAAATATTATGAATATAGGTAGATTTGGTAATAAGTGGGGTGTCCAAAAAAATATTATTAAAATTTAGGATTTAGGGTTGGGGTCCAAAGAATTTTGGTAGGTACTAATAGCAGCACTCAAATCATAAATATACCTTTTGAAATTTATTTAAAATATGAATTATTCCATGTGATTCTAGAATGACATCATGCCCCTTCAAATTTTTAATCGCATAACAAACGATTCATTTTATTAATAAATTATTAAGTCAATTAATAATTATTAATGACGTAAAAATATATTTCAATTAATAATTTAAATACCCTTTTTATGATTTTTTATTGATAAATCCTATTTAGAGGTATTCTAATCCAATAAGTCCATTAAGGAAAATTATAACCTACTTAGTCCCATATATTTATGCTTTTATTCCATGAGATCCCTTTTTCCCGATTTATATTATTTGTTAGACTATTATACCCTTATGCCTATTGGTGATATGTATTACATAGAAAAAAGATATACACATTTTATTTTTGTTGTTATTTCTATTTTGGTAGTTACCATTATTCACGTTTTACTTTTTGATCAGTTTCATTCGCATTTGTGGTATTGTTTCGTTGTGCTAGGATTTCGAAACTCTCTATTTGGTAGGGTTTAAAAACTCTAGTTACACATGGTGGTAAAATAATATTATGTTCCTCAATTGTTGCAGTGAAACTTTATGTTCCTCCATTGCCACTTTGTGTTTGAAGTTTTGTGTACGTTCATTGTTGCTCTGTGTTCGAAACTCTATGTTTCTCTATTATTGTAAGTCGAAACTCTATTTATGTCCAGTCAATTTGTTACAAACACATTCTTCAAAGGTGGGTTTGGTTTGATTTGAATTGGTGGAATGGTGAAATTGCATAGATTGTTAATGATAATGATAATGAAAAAAATGATGATGAAGATGTGGAAGTGGGTGATTTTTATTTTTATTTTTAGAGTGATTGAGTTTTTTTTTTTTTTCTAATTCTATTGTTGCCATTGTTTTTATTTTTTTTGTCAATCAATGTAAATGTTCACATTCCACATTATTTGAAAGTTTGATAAATAAGTATTGGAATATAGATATAGACATAATGATATATTTTGTAAAATGTGAATATTCACATATTATTAGTTATTTGTTATTTGAAATAGTCATTTTTTTCCTTTCAATTTTGAAATAGTCATTTTTTTCCTTTCAATTTTGAAATAGTCATATTATTAGTTAATAGTTATTTGAAATAGTCATTTTTTTCCTTTCAATTTTGTTTCATGTTGCAGTGTAAATGTTCACATTGGTATATGAATTTAGGTAGTGTTTGGCTGACTTTTAGAATTATGATTTGAGAATAGAATTGTATTTTGAGTTTGTGAGTTTTGAAATTATGATTTAAGTATGGAAAATTTATTTAGTTATGAGTTTTGAATTGAGTTTGAAATTTTTGATGTGACATAGAATATTTGATTAAAAAACTTACAACTCATAACCAAATACATAACTCAAAAATTTATTTAAAGCTCATAAAAAAATTTTAAAAAAATCTGAAAATATTTTTTATTTAAAATATAAAAATAATAGGTGCAAAAAAAAAAACCACTGTTCTGGTCAACCGGCCGAACGTTCGGATGGATATCCGAAGGATGACTGAGTAGATATGTTTTCAAAATTGAGTGTGAAATTAATTTTTGAAAGTTATATCCAAACAGAGAGTTCACGTGAAGGGGTAGAATTATGGTTAGAACGCTGAGTTTTTCTAAGGTTAGTTATATGTTAATTGTAAATTGTGAACATGTACATTGTATTTTAGTATGAGTTTTTTTTTTTCGAAAGTTGGTTGTATTTTGTTGTTTTTTTACTATGCTTGTTAGTTGAACAATCATTTTTGTTACCATTGAACAATCAAAATAGTCGATTTTTACTTTTTAAATTTTATTGTATATTTTCACGCTGCAGTGTTCATATTGGTATGATTTTATTTTTATTTTTTAAAAACTAGTTATATATTAATTGTAAATTATGAACATTCACAATGTATTTTGGTTTAAGTTTTACTTTTTCGAAAGTTAATTGTATGTTTGTTGTTTTTGTTACTATGCTTGTTAGCTGAACAATCATTTTTGTTATCATTGGACAATTAAAATAGTTGATTTTCACTTTTTTCAATTTTGTTTTATATTTTTACGTTGCAGTGTAAATGTTTACATTGATATGATTTGTTTTTTTTTAAGGCTAGTTATATGTTAATTATAAATTGTGAACATTCACATTATATTTTGGCATGTATTTTATTTTTTCGAAGGTCAGTTGTTATAGCTTGCTTTTCGTGCTTCTCGGAAGGGTTTAGTCTCCTCAAATACGATAACCTTACAGTTCGGACTCCCGTGGTTCTGAATTTAAATTCACAAGTGCAATGTGAAATAAATAAACACAAATGAGTTCAAATCTGACAAATATTTTAAAAAATCAATTTTGAATAAAAAATGCCAAAAATAAACTGCATCGCTAGATTTCAGAGTTGCTATCTAAATATTTTTGAAAAATTTAGAAAATCCGTGGCTCGTGCCGAAGGCCACGTGTCCGTCATCACCAAAGTGTCTTGGCTCAGGAACTTAGGTATGAGAGAGGAAGGTCACAAATTGAGCACCCCACTCACCTGATTAAAGATCGGCCTCTACTAATCATGATATGATTCTTATGTACATTATATGCTCTTGTTCTGATTATTATGCTATCTTTACTATGTGATGCACACAAGTATAGACTATCTCGCCCAATTTAGAATGTTTTGATTTCATGTTTGTTTTGAAATGTGTTTGAATATATACTGCTTGAGAAAGCGATCTCATATGTGCATTAATCAAATCATCCCAACTTAAGCGGAAAAGCCTTCATCCACTGGCATTCAAATAGGTATATCAACTAAGCACTTAGCCTTATAGTAATATGCTTGCTATGACAACACGAACATATATGTAATATGCTAAAGTAAGAAATGCTCACCTAGTACTCCGAGGCAAGCCATAAGAAATGAAATAATTAGAAAAAAAAATGCATAATCCTAACAATGCAAAATGACTAATGCAACACATACAATATGCAATTAATAGGCTCAACTACTAGTATGGCATACGAGTCAATTCAAGATATACGATAAAACATGTATTCAAGTAAGGAATGTGAAATTGACATTGATTAGTATGAGGAGCCAAACCCTTATGTATGCAAAACGAATGGATGCGAGTCATGGAAAATGCTAAGGAAAATATGATTCCATACAACCATAGTAACCGGGTAAATAAAAGGGAGAAAGAAATGAGAGTTGGAAGACATATATAAATTATTATATATTTGCCCTTGCACGGGAGTATTCAAATGCCTAAGTGTCCACATCAACTACTTATTACAAATCCGAATGAATAATAAATAACTGCCTATCTAATTTATTACAACCATGATATTACAATAATATATGTAAAGAATGAGCAAAGATCCCACATGCCCCGACGAAGGTGGCCCTCAGAAACTGCTTTATCTGTTTCTTGGGAAACTGTTCTATTCTACCCTTAGCCACTGCTCTCTGTTTTAACCAAAAGTGCTTTGTTTACCATAATACATTGGAGCCTAGCCGACCCATAATGAGGCCCGATCGGGCCCAAACAAATTTGGTTGTGCCCTATTTTCTTGCAGAAAACTGTTTTTGTGCTCTGAGGTGAAAATAGTGCAGACAGAGCATTCCTAAGCCATGTGTTGTCCTTTCTGCTTTTCTCTATCATAGAGGTACTCAAGAGAGGAGCGGGTTTGGTTCTCAAACCATCAATGGTTGCAATTTGATTGCGTGATGGTTTTAGACACGACAGGACAAAAAAATTAATGAATGCAATGAAAGACAAATCATACCTCCTTCCTATCATGAAGTTAATTCAAGAAGGGAGGTAGACAAGCTTCAAGAGTCATCAAACATCACGGATTAGTATGTGATGACTCTAGAAGCGATGAATTCGGTATTACGTCTGACCGAATCCAACTTACACAATGTAACCTTCATCATCGAGTACTTAGAATAAAATGCCCAAGTCTTACGGACAGTCAAAAATAGAGTATCTATAGTTGCATGTTTGTTGTTTATTGTGAACATTTACATTACTTTAGTAATGTGTTTTATTTTTTTAAGAGTTAGTTGTATGTTTGTTGTTTACTGTGAATATTCACATTGGATGTTGATTTTCATTTAGATTTTTTGTTGCTTTATTTTTGAAAATTTCAGATTATAAAAATGTTTAAAGTTCATAATTTGAGATTTGCTCTATGGAATGTGGGAGATATTTTCTACTTAGAATAATGGAGAGATTTTTTCCATGGAATAAGGAAAATATTTTCTCTTTAGAATAATAGAGATATTTTGTCCATAAAATAAGTAATTATTGTTATATATTAGTTTCAAAATAGAAACATGAAAAAATTAAAAACGATGATTTAGTCATATTACATTAAACAGAATTTAATGAAATACTTTAAAAAAATATAAATTAAATAAAATAAAACATTTAAAAAGAGAATTTATCAAAAAAATATCCTTTTTATTATTTAAAACAATAGTTAACAATTTTATTTTTTTTATTAAACAAAAAATTATGATAATAATATATTTATAATTTTTAGAAACCACAATAAATAATTCGTTGTACTGAGTAGTACTAATAAGAATATGCCGTCGGCCCACGGACCCGAACCAGTCCACCAGAGTATACTGGTTTTTTAAAGCTGTGTTCAGACCGGCCAACCAAGTGGCTGCGCACACCAACCACACCAGACACCACAACAAGCGCCGGCCAGGCCGTTAAGACTTGGTCTCAATCAACTCTGTCCCAATCCTCTCATCTTCTCTCTCCTCCGCACTGATTGACCTGCCATATGTCCACCTTCTCAAACCAGAAACAAAAAGTAAAAACTCTTGACATCTTCAATGAACTCGTTGTAACATCAACGAACTGCTGAGATTTCTCAAATACAGTACTAGTACTAGTGTTTGTGTTTATCTCTTTTTTGAATATGAGAGACCTATTGGCCATTTTTGTGCTTCTGAGTTCGCTACAGTTAGTGCAGTGCCAAGTCGATCCAACTCAATTCAACAATCCTGCTGTTCTTTCCTTATTCACTGAGGTTGTCTACGGTCGCCTCTCGAATCTCACCACCTCAATCCTCAGTAGCGAATTCGTCAACAATGCTAGCTTCTGCATCAAGGATCCGTAAGTTCGATTTCCATCCCCTGTTTGGTTTCCGAGAAAATGCAGGAAAAATATTGTATCTTAGCTTCTATGTTTAGTTCAGTTTGGATTTTGAGTTTTTGAAGCTCACCTTGTCTTACAGGAATCTTGATTGGGATCGTGCTTTCAATTATTCTTCCGATTTGAGCTTCGTCAGTTCTTGCATTCGGAAAACTAATGGTATAAGCTGTTCTTAACGTTTTTGACTCGTTTGGTTGCTGGGAAAAAAAAAAAATTTGTAGTATTTTTTTTTTTATTTTTAGTGTTTGGCAATTGAAGAAATAATAAAAGAATATGTTGTTAGCTGTGCCTAATACAACTATTTGATTAGTTTCGTTAAGTATTTCTGATTTTTCTTTAAAAAAGGAAAACCGCTTGAAGCAAAAGATTTAGACTCTCAAACAACAATGAAATTATTGTTCCTCTTGGCCAGAATTGTAAAGCAACAATAGTCTTTTAGCTGTGGAAAGATCGTGCCACCTTTTGTTTGTTCCTTATTTTATAGAAAAAAGAAATGGATTCTGGGATTTTCCCCACATGAACACCGCAGAAATCAAACTGAAAATTAAATTAATCAGCCTCCTAGGATCTTTAGATATGAAATTCATTGTATTTTCTACTTGAATGCACCTTCCAAAAGTACACCATGTTTTATCCTCCCAATTCTAATTATGGCTATAACTTGTTCAACAGGAGATGTTTCACGACGCCTGTGTACAGCTGCAGAAGCAAAGTTATACTTCAGTAACTTCTTCAAAGGGGGATCATCAAGTACCAGTTATCTAAAACCTAACAAGAATTGTAACCTAACCTCTTGGGTTTCTGGTTGTGAGCCAGGTTGGGCATGTACCGTTGACCCAAATGAGGTGGTTGACATAAAAAATTCAAAGGAAATACCAAGTAGAAATCTTAACTGTCAGCCTTGCTGTGAGGGTTTTTTCTGCCCTCATGGTATTACATGCATGATACGTGAGTATTTGCAAATCCTCCAATTTGTTATTTTTTTTTTTAATTACTAGAAGTGACTTTTATTTGCTTTCCTCTCAGTACTAACTTGGATGATGTGTTTGTCACTTTTCTTTTCTGCTTCTATGAAAAGTCATTATACATCGCCATTAGGTTTTTTCTATCCTATGGTAATCAGGTGGATGGTAATATTTCATACAGGAAATAAAGGGGTGTGCCACCTTTTTCTTATTTCTTAGAATTGAACATCTATGTTCTATGGATTGAATAATTCTTTTTACATTGTCGTTCAGAGTTTGCCATGTTGCTTTGTGGTACTTTGACTTAAATACTCCTTAAAAACAATCAAACAACACTTTGCCCTTATCTTCTTCCCCTTCCACCCCTTGTTTTGGTGAGTGCATGTAAGCTTTCTCGTTTTTGTTTTTGTTTGGCCTGGGTTTTGTAATGTGATGGTGAATTGTGACCATATTGGGCGATCAACCTGAAACAAGTTGTAGCTCAACTGATACTGGATTCACCCCAAATTACAATCACCTCTCCAGCCAATGGTCAAATAAAAGAAGAAAGGGGGGGGGGGGGGGGGGGGGGAATTAAAGGGGACAGTGAAAATATTTAAGATTAAGTAGGTGTTTGGGGTAAACTAAAAAAGTGCTCTTTTTTTACTTACATACACTTATTTGGGTCACATCAAGCAACATCTATCAACATCTTCTCTTTACTTTTCTAATCACTTGCTCTACTTTTCTACACATTTTTTTTATTATAAAAAATCAAAAAGTACACTTATTTAGAACATCCCAAACGACCCCTAAACTGGTACAGAAAAAAAGAATATCAATCTCCACATTGCAAGTTCTGTGAGAACTTGTGCAATGCACATGTTTACTTGGCATGGCATTCATTCATGCAAGTCATGATTACTCTTAATAGATTGCACTTCTGAAGAAACGTAGCTCTTTATATGTGTCAGTTTAGTTGTATTTACTAGAGTTTGTGAATATTACACAATGTCACCAGCCTGCGTGGAGCACTTTACATCAGGCAGTTTATATTGACACTTCTTCTGAATGAACTGGTGGTAATCTGATTACAAAGCACTTGTGAAACAAGCCGGAGTTCAAAATTGGCCTTTCTCACACCAACGTAATGGTTTGTTTAATTTTTATTGTTGCTGTTGTTGTTGTTGCGGTTGTCTTGCAGTTTAAATAAGTGGGTCATGTTGGTTTCGGGTTAGTCCCTTTGATGGTCTGCCTGCGTAATTTATAGTTCAGTTGAGCAATTACAGAATAAGACATGCTAACCTTAGCTAGTTCTATGATACTAAACAAGTGGGAAAATGAAATCCTAATGGCAATGAGGTCGGTTTAAGATAGGCTGACCCAAAAGCTGCTTAGTCCCGGAAAGGATAGCTAAATAACATTCAAGTGCTGCAACTTAAGGTATAAAATGCAAACTCCATCTGAATAGGGGTGCATCAGAAGCATGCTATCAGTAATCAAATGGCATGTGGATTAGACTGAATCGGTGGTCGGGCTGGACTTTGATTAACGAGTGATGGGCTTCCTCCTTGAGAGACCTGCAAACAAACCCTTGAGAACCCATTGGTGGGTGTCCTCCTCAAGGGCCCTCCGACAGTTAAGTTAGATATGCTTGAGGAAGAAGATAATCGGAGAGTAAGAGTGTGTAAGAGATAACGTACCTTATGATAGGACTAAGTGTGTATATATAGGACTCACCTCTCACGGTTGGCTTCTCATGTGAGGGAATAATTTTGTTAGCCACTTGGGCAATAATGCAATGCCATGTGTCTTACCATGATGAGGCATGCCTAAGCTATGAGACATGTTATCCACTAGTTGTTGACGGTTGCAGGTGGAGGGGACCATCCTATGCTTGTGCCACGTGTCCGGGCTGTTTTAAGCACAGAAAGCATAACATAATCCCGGTCAGGTCGGCTTTCCTAGACGCACTGCTCAGAATTGTTTCCCAACCAGGTCAGCCTCTTGATTAGGTGAGTGTGAGTGCTCGCGAGCTCAACGGATCTGACTGGGCTGACCTCGCTCCAAAGAAATGGTCTGACCCCTCAAAGCCTGTGCCTGGGCCATCTTGGGCCTTTAACAGGGTCCATTAAGTCTACCTCTTATCTGTATACATCAAAAGTTATGCTAAATCCAACCCTACCTCAGTTATACAACTCCTGTAGTTGTCCCATGAAGGCTAACATAGTGTAGGTTCCTTTCCTCTTTGCCATATCATGATATCAAGATCAACTGTACTGTATGAGAATGGAGACATATGTCATGCCTCAAATAATATTATCAACTTTTTTGTTTTCTGGTTAAACGCAACTACATTGCATTCTATATCAATTTGGGGAATATCTTTTCCATTCTAGAACTAGTTCTTGAAAACATGCATCCGCCAGATATCTGTTCCAGGCTGGAACAAAATGGCACCTTCATGAAACACACATTCAGCTTGCTCAAACCGTCAGAGTTTCCAACAACAAATTTGACCTATAATAGGTGTTATCTTCATTCTTCACCTTAAATTCATTTAATCTGTTATTTTAACATCTCCCTGCCTATGACAATCTAGCATCCTTACATTGCTTCTCTCTTGCTACCCCTTATATGGAATATCATAGAGAGTTTTAGTTGCATCAAATTATATATCATGCAAGAATGCTACCTTATCTATCAAATCATTGTTACCTTTTCACTTTATATCTAAAGGATGGGTAATTATTTAGTAGTTCCAGAGCACCATGTGGCAATGCCTATGTGGTGTTCCAAACCAATCATGTTGTGGAAAATCTTACAGATGGGACATGGTGATTCACCTTTGTTAGGTAGTTGAGAGACAAAAGATGACCCACTTAGTTTGTTGCAATTTTCGTTTGGCATGTGTACAATATACGCAATGCCACATGGTATTCCTGGAGTATTTAATAATTTTCTCTAATGGAGGGTGCACTTGGTCAATTGAATTGAATTACTATGGTAACTTTTGATACCATGTCTTGAGAGTTGGAAGGCAGCATTTAGGCTTCCTAATTCATATGCCACCCAATATTGTCATGGTCTTTATCTAGGAGTTCTTATCAAATTTGGCCAAACATTTAGCTAAACACATTCATGCATGTGTTGACCCAAAAAGCTGTAAAATTTCAGGATAAGCAATCAATGCGATTTTCTTTTTCCTCTGTTGATGAGACTGAATAATTAATAGATAGATCATAGAAGCCAAGCACACACCTGTTGGAAATTTGAGTTGCTGATATAAGTTTATTGACTAATAATGTCTCTAATAATTTTCTATTTGCTGTTTGTCTTCTTGTTCCTGAAGCTTGCCCCTTAGGTTCCTATTGCCCACTTGCAACACTCAATAAAGCTACTGGTGTATGTGAACCGTAAGTTAACATTGTAGTTGTTAAACTGACTTGATATTTGTTTTCCGTGGCCTTTGTTATTTACAAGATATTGTTTCATTGGTTTCTGCAGATACGTTTACCAACTACCTCCAGGACAGCCAAATCATACTTGTGGTGGGGCTAATGTTTGGGCAGATGTTGGTAGTAGTAGTGAAGTATTCTGTTCACTCTGTCGAGATCATATTGTCCGACAAGTATCAAAAAAATTCCGTGTGGTAGTGGGTATTGATTTTTATCCCAACCCCTTAACAGTATTTGGTTGTCTTTTTGCTAGTTGCAACCTTCTATTGCTTCTTATAACTTATACCATGCTTTGATAAGACAGTTGATATTTTAAAGTTTGGTCTGTATCCAGATCTTAATTTTTACTTGTCAGGATATATAACTTACTCCTTGTTGCCCTTAGTTTTATTTTCTAATTTCTAATGCTATTAGTTTTCTTTGGCAATTTCAGGCATTACTGCAGGATGGGTTCTACATCTGAGAAACGTAAGTTTCTTTTTGAAGTGCAAGTTATTACAGCAGCATGATATATTGACTAATTCTGAGTCTCTCTCTCTCTCTGTGGGGTTTTTGAAAAAAACAAATGAATTTGCAAAGTTCATTCAAACACTGCCTATATCCTGGACTTTTGGTGTTTTACAACCCCTGTCCTGCAGGTTCCATATATTGTCTGACCCTTAATGATTAACTTGCAGGGTGCTTGAAGTTGACTTCATGTAATCCCAACACTTCAAATCAGAATATTCGCGCATATGGTATTATGCTTATAGTAAGTTGTTTTGTACACTTATGCCTGGGTCTATGGCTACACATGTCAAACCATTTGTGTGAGAGACATAATAAGCTACACTTTTTGGCTTGTAATAATTTTGTTTGAAAAATGGCAGTAATAGTAGTAGTAGGTAGGTCATTGTCACTATGTTGTCATTGACTCATCGTTGTAGTTGCTGCTGCTGCTGCTGCTGTTAGTATCATTAGTGTCATTCATTATTGTTAGTATGTGCTTGTTTCAGATGATATCTTTAGGATTTACTATTTAGTTTATATTCGATATTACCTGTAAAGTAATTTCTCCCATAAACATTAAAGAACATTTCCTGATCTCAGTTGTGTTGTACGGAAACTTTCCAAGGTGCATCTCTTTGTCTTCTGTTCATAAATTCTAAATGTGTATATCTTTTTTTATTTTTTATTGAAAAAAAAAAAACCATTCCTTAGCTAATAGATATCAACACCCATCACTTTTTAATGCAGGCTGCTGTAAGTACTCTGTTGCTTATTATTTACAACTGTTCTGACCAAGTTCTGACCACTCGTGAAAGGAGAAATGCCAAATCCAGGACCAAATTACCTCCAAAGTGTAAGGGAGAAAGCACAGGCACGAAAGAGGTGGAAGTCTGCTAAAGATGCTGCTAAGAATCATGCATTGGAATTACAAAGTCAATTTTCTCGCACGTTTTCTCTTAAAAAAACTGTGCCATCTTCTGGTCAATTCAAGATTTTGAATCAAACTGTAGTTGAAACAGATGAAGATCTATATTCGCCTATGACTCCAAGTACTTCGACTGTACCTGAGCAATCTTCTGTTGCATCGAGAGGAAAGAACAAAGAACCCAGTGAACTCATGAATATGATGCATGCTGTTGAAGATGACCCTGATAGTTCTGAATTTCACAGTTATGAGGTTGTAGATAAAAATACAAAAAAGAAAATTCCAGAAAAACCTATGCATACACACAGCCAGATATTCAAATATGCATATGGTCAACTAGAGAAAGAAAAAGCTCAGCAGCAGCAAAACAAGAACCTTACTTTCTCAGGAATAATTTCAAAGGTGACTAATTCTGAAACAAGGAAAAGGCCCGTAATTGAGGTTTTCTTCAGAGACCTTACGCTTACTTTGAAAGGGAAAAACAAACATCTTTTGAGGTGTGTTACTGGGAAAATAATGCCTGGCCGCATTACTGCCGTCATGGGTCCATCTGGGGCTGGAAAAACCTCATTCCTTTCTGCTTTGGCGGGAAAAACAGCTGGATGCAAGATGACTGGTTTAATTCTTATAAATGGAACAACACAATCAATCCACTCATTCAGAAGAATCATTGGGTTTGTGCCACAGGATGATATTGTGTATGGAAATTTGACTGTGGAGGAGAATCTCTGGTTCAGTGCAAGGTGCAGGTATGTTAGATTGAGTTCCCTTGAACATTCCAACTGCAATTTATTATGACACCCCCAAAGGGATTCAAATTTGTCATCCTGTAGCACTAAGTTTAGAAGTAGCAAAATTTTTCATTATGTTTGAATAATTGTGAGTATTCGTGTGCTGGTTACCACATTCCTAGGAATTTGAACTAGTTAGGCTTCTCTGTCGAAGGTTATGTCGCACAAAACAAGAATTAAAAGATTCAAAAACTACTTATTGTTTGTTTGAGAGAGAGAGAAAAAACTTAGGGAATGATTAGACAATCATCCCCTTTTATATTGATAATAGGTAGCTTACAATGGAAGCCTTGGAGGCACAAATAAAGAAATAATAGAATAAGGAAATAACAACTAATAGGATAATCAATACACAGTAACCAAAGATATTATTCTAACACTCCCCCTCAAGTTGGTGCGAAAATGTCTCTCATGCCCAGTTTGCCAAGCACATCATGGAATGGTTTGCTTCCAATTCCCTTGGTGAGAATGTCTGCCAGTTGTTCACTTGACTTCACAAAAGGAGTACATATGGTGTTGTTTGGCAATTGGGTTAGGTTGGCTTTTTGGCTAAATTAGCCACAAAAAGACAAAATAGGCTAAAAAGTTCATAAGACAAAATGTCACATCCAAACCATAATCATTTCACTTTTTCTCTCACAAAAGTTAAAAAAACCAACATAAACGAACTTTTTAGCTTGGACTAAAATAGTCCAAATGCCAAAAGGTCAAAAATTCAACACAACTTCCTAAACGAAGTGGCTATCAATCTCCACATATTTCGTTTGGTCATGCTGAACTGGATTGTGAGTTATGTTAATAGCAGCCTTATTGTCAAAGTACAATCACATGGAATCAGAATGACTAATCCCTAGATCACTTAGCAATAACTTGATCCACAAGAGTTCACATACACCTTGTGCCATAACTCGGCCTCTGATTCCATTATGTTTCTTGCTCCTCCACGTAACCAAATTACCTCAACAAAGGTACAATAACCAAATGTGGACCTTTTATCAATTACTGATCCTGCCTAATCAGCATTTGTATAAGCTTTCTACCTGAAGGTGATCATGTTTGGAAAAATAGAGACCCTTTCCTGGAGAAGATTTTAAGTATCTAAGGATGCGTATTACTGCAACCAAGTGTGTCTCATGAGGAGCATGCATGAACTGGCTACCCACACTAACTGCTATGAGCTTATCCACTATTCTATGATAAATGAGCTCCTCTAAGTAACCAAATTACCTCCAACAAAGGTACAATAACCAGATGTAGACCTTGTATCAATTACTTATCTTGCCCAATCAACATCTATATAAGCTTCCACCTGAAGATGATCATGTTTAGAAAAGTAGAGACCCTTTCCTGGAGAAGATTTTAAGTATATAAGGATGCACATTACTGCAACCAAGTGTGTCTCATGAGGAGCATGAATGAACTGACTAACCGCACTAACTGCCATGGCAATGTCAAGACAACAATGGGATAAGTAAATAAGCTTACCCACTAGTCTTTGATAACTCCCCCCTATCAACAATAGCTCCCTAACTAAGTTTCTGATTTGGCTCCGGTGATGTATCACAAGTTTTACTCCCAAGCATCCCTTTTTCTTTCAATAGGTTAAGAACATAGTTCCTCTGACAGATGAAAATTCTATCCTTAGACCGGGCAACCTCAATACCTAGGAAATACTTCAGATTTCCCAAGTCTTTTATTTCAAACTCGCTTGCCAAATATTTCTTCAACCGGGGTATTTCCTCACTATCATCTCCTATAAGCACTATGTCATCCACAAACAATGAGAGCTGTAGTCTTACCATGTGAGGAATGCTTCACAAATTAAATGTGATCAGCGTGACTCTATTTGAAGCCATATCAGAGCATAGCCTGAATGAATCTATTAAACCAAGCCCTTGGAGATTGTTTGAGATTATATAATGACTTTTGAAGCCTACATACTTTACCCCTTTGTCTGATGATCCTCGAAGCCAGGAGGGATGTCCATATACGCGTAAATTCTAGATCACTATGTAAGAAAGCATTTTTTTACATCAAATTGATGAAATGACCAATCCAGATTAGCTACAAGAGAGAGAAATATTCTAACTGTAAAAAATAAACTGATGTATTATTTATTGATGTATTGATTGTTACAAGATTGATATATTGTATTACAAATCAGAGTGGCATTATATAGGAGAGGGTTTGGGTAGTAGGTGAGGAGTAGTGGAGTGTAGTAGGTGAGTGTGAATGGTAAATTCTAACAGCCCCCCGCAAACTCAAGGAGGATAGAAACTAACCAACTTGAGTTTGAAGAGAGGAACAAAACAAGAAAATACATAAAAAGGCAATTATTGATGTAAACATTTAGGCTAAGTTTGACAAGCTTAGAAAAATCTAAAAAGTTAAAAAGTTATTTAAAAAATTAAAAAATTATCACTATTTATCACTACGTCAAAACAGGGCATTAACGGCGGTTTTCGTTATCGTCGTTAAAGATACTATTAACGGCGGTAACGAAACCGCCGTTAAAGATACATTAATGGCGATATTAACGGCGGTTTCGTTACCGCCGTTAATAGTATCTTTAACGACGATAACGAAAACCGCCGTTAATGCCCTGTTTTGACGTAGTGATAAATAGTGATAATTTTTTAATTTTTTAAATAACTTTTTAACTTTTTAGATTTTTCTAAGCTTGTCAAACTTAGCCTAAATGTTTACATCAATAATTGCCAATATTGTCTCACATCTATGTATCTATGTGCGAAACTTTCTGTGCACACGTAGAATTTTTCATAAAATGCAACACATGCTCAGTAGAGGAGAGAGAAACTTTTTGTAGTAGTTCATATCAGACATGTCATAAATGGCGGCTACACTGATATCTTGTCTTGGGAAGTAGGTTGACTCTTTAATTTTTAATTTTTTTAACTATTTTAGTTTTTTTTTGAAAGAGCAACAACAAAATTTTATTAAAAATAAAAAGAGAAAGAGGACAAGAAGTCCTCATACAAGGAAAGAAAGAAAAAGAGTGAAACAAAAACAAAAAAGTCATAGCCCTAGGGAAGGCAAACATCGGCCCAATCCCTAGAGATCAAAAACAAGGGAACTCCTTTAAAAGGAGGGGATACAAAGGCCCAAAAAGACGCCAAATAATTCACCCTATCCCACAAAGCCTCTACACTTGCTTCCTTGTCATCAAAGATTCTAGCATTTCTCTCCAACCATATAGCCCAAAAAATAGCAAAAACAATACATGCCCACATTGTTTTGGCTCTCTTGGTTCTCCCAAACCCTATAAACCGAATAAGAAGCATCTGAATACAGTCCCGCGGAGCAACCCACTACTCATCACATAAGCTGAATAACCGCTGCCATAATACACGAGCCATCGGGCAATGAAGAAATAGATGATCCGCTTCCTCCAAGTTCCTCTTGCACATCACACACCATTGAAGACAAAGAGAGTAATCAGGCCTTCTCCTTTGGAAAATATCATTAGTTGTTACACCCTTTTGAGTCAAAGACCACATGAAAAACTTCACTTTATGAGGGACATCCACTTTCCAAATTTTCTTATGATAAGGAAACAAGGAAGTAGAAGGATTATCAATGAGCTTATCAAATAAAGATTTACATGAAAAGACACCTGAAGAACCCAGATTCCACACCCTAATATCACAAGATGTAGAAAGAGAGACCCCCTCAAGCACTACCAACAAAGATGCCAGCTCCCCCGCCTCCCTATCATTCAAGTTTCTAATAAAATCAAAATTCCAAGAGATGTGTGCCATAGAAGAACAAGCCACCGACGCTATCGAAACATTTGAAGAACGAACCAACCGGTAAAGAAGAGGAAAAACTCTATCAAACGAGATATCCCCTAACCAAACGTCCTCCCAAAAGCGAGTGTTCACCCCATTCCCCACTCTCAAAGAAAAGTAGTTAGACATAAGAGGATACAAACGAGAAATGGATTTCCACGGTGAACGACAATTGCCTCTATTAACCACATTAGAATCTCTACCATTGGGTTGAACTCCATACTTGCTTTTAATAACTGAACACCATAGCGAATCACTTTCAATCGAAAATCTCCACAACCACTTGCCCAAAAGAGCAATATTCCTAGCAACGATATTTCCAATAGCTAATCCACCCTTTTCCTTAGGAAGAGAAACCGTATCCCATCTAACCAAATGAAACCCTGTGCCCTCTCCACACCCTTCCCAAAGAAAGTCTCTCATCAATTTCTCAATTTTCCTCGCAATGCTAATCGGGATTTTGAAAATGGATAAGAAATAAATAGGAACAAATCCTAATACAGATTGTACCAAAATATATCTCCCCCCCTTAGACAACAAAGCTCGCTTCCAACCCTCCAATCTTTTCCCAATTTTGACAAGAACAGGTTCCCAAAAGAACACCAATCTAGGATCTCCACCTAATGGGAGCCCTAAGTATTTGATAGGAAAGGACTCAATAGAACAGCCCAACATATTCGCTACTCTACGCACATAACTATCATTCAAATTAATACCCACAACACTGCTCTTGCTAAGATTGACCTTAAGGCCCGACACAATTTCAAAAATTCTCAGAACCTGTAGTAAACACCCCACTTTATTTTCCTCCTTTGATGAAAAGAATATAGTATCATCCGCAAATTGTATATGAGTAACTTCAATCCTATCCCTTCCCACCACAAACCCCTCAATGACACCCTTATCCTTAGCTAAATCAATAATCCTACCCAACACATCAGCAACCAAAATAAACAAAAATGGTGATAAAGGATCGCCCTGTCTTAGACCCCTAGATGCTAGAAAAGAATCCCCAGCTTTACCGTTCACAATGACCGACATATTACATGACGACAAGCACCCCTAAATCCACTTTCTCCACCTAACTCCAAACTCCTTCCTTTCCAAAACAAAATCCACAAAGCCCCAATCAACATGATCATATGCCTT